GAGAGAAATAAAGATAAGAAAACATTTGGGAGGAAGGTAAAAGTTGCCTGGCTCCTATTTCCATAGGACAATCCTCAGATGATATTATAATAAAAGTACAGAAAATCCAAGAAACGGGTGGTTTTAATACAGGGAAACAAATTGATGTTGCATGGGCAGTGTATCCAAATGTGCAAATCCAAAAAAAGTAAAGAAAATAAACAACAGGAAAAAACTAAACAGAAAACGATAGCAAATTATAAAAAAAAACAGCAAAAAATTCTTACCCCCAGGGAGGAGTCTTGTAAAGGGGAAGGTGTTCAGTTCCTCAATCTTCATTAGGAAGACTGGGAACTAATCAATACAAAAATGACAAAATAAATATAAATATTGGAAGCAGGAGTATGCTCAGGTAAAACCCAGGACTCCTCCAAAGCCTCTCCTGGCAACAGCAGAGTCTCTGGTAACAGCCACAACAAGAAATGAAAACCTGGGACTTTTAATAGGCACAGGAACCATTATTCAGTTTTAAATACCAATTAAAATACCAATTATTCGGTATTAAATGCAAGGGAAGTTTAGGGATGCCTCCATCACATTTGTTGGTGCCACTGGAATTCGTGAACTGTGCCTTTTTTTCAAACCAGTTAAGTTCAAAGTAGAAAAATGATAAATAACACATCAATTTTTGTCCCTGCCTAGCTCTCCAAAAGTGTTATTAAGGAAAAAAACTTGTAAAATTGAGTCCAAAAATCAAGTTTCAGGAAGGAGACATTCAAATTAAAATCCCCAAGGCTAAATACCTGTAAACTTCAATTTTTATATTACACTGTCTTCCCAAGCTGAACCTATCCCAAAGAGAATTAAGGATGCAGTAATCCCCATTGTGTGGGCCAGGGAGATTCCTGGAAAATCAAAAAGAACAGAATCTATGAGAAACAAATTAAATCCGGCACAGACCTGGTAAGACAAAACCAATATCCTATAACATTAAAACATTGAAAAGGCTCATTACCTAAGATTAAGAAAACTTTAAAGTACAGGTTGTTGGTGAACTCAAATTTTGCCAGACAAAAATATGAATTGTAAAGATTATCAGTTAGTACAAGACTCAAGAGCAATTAATAAAATTGCTAACTAACCCAAAAATTACTAAGTTATTCAAACCACTCATAGCCACACTAAAAAAAAAAAAAAAGTAAACAAATAAATAATTACATTTGGAATGGCTCACTGTAGCTGATTTAAAGGAATTTTGGATTATTGGTCCACCCTTTGTATGGAATTCTAAATATTTTATATAGTAATAGCCATACATAGTTTATAGCCATGAATACTTTTAAATACATAAATACTTTTAAACAGAGAAATACTTTATTATATGATGATGATACTCAGGTGCTTTCAAACTTAAAAAGCCTTAATGATGTCTGCAGCTTTGGGCTTCCTAGATCCTGTGAAATCTTTTGAATTATTTCCTTATGCCAGGGTTGACCCAGCTGTTTGTGAGCAGCCCCAGCCATGGAGCTGCAGAATTAGATATTAAACCAGAATATAGCACAAAAATTTGTCATTTAATCAGAGCATTATATTCTAAATTTCACCCTGGTGGGTGGGCAGTCAGCCCTGCTGGACAAGTGATAATTTCTGAGAGAATAAAGTAGTGATAGAGGCTGTCAAATATAGAAACTCTCCTGGAGATTATTGGCAAATTGACTTTACAGAACTTCCATGCAAAGACAGCTGTAAATTTCTTTTAGTGGATCCCTGTTCTGCGTGGCCTGAAGCATTTCCCTGTTGCACCAACATGGCAAAAGAAGCAGTGAAAATATTTCTGAATCAATTATTTCCATGCTTTGGAGCTCCTCTAGGAATGTCATCAGACAGAGGGTTTGGTTTTATAGCAGGAATGGTGGGATAAGTGTGCAAGGCCTTGGGAATCCAGAGGGATTTACACACTCATGATGGTCACAAGCCAGTGGAAAGGCAGAGAGAATGAATTACACTATTAAACTTAAATTATTATCCCCAAGCAGAATAAAATGCAGGAAAAAGAATGAATAATCTTGCAACTGAAATATTGCTCATGTCTGTAAGATGTATCTCAATAGTTCACCAAAATCTTTGCCAAAAGCACCTTTAGAGTTTCATGGAGGGATTAGTCATGTAAATGTGTATGAAAATATCAAGTAGATAAAATATTAAATGTAACTAATTGCTGGATATGTTCTCAAGGCATGTTGGTAGGAATGAGGCTCCACAGAACCACATGGCCTTAAGGAAAAATTTGCTATTATAGGACAAGAATGTTGCACTTACATCAGGGATGAGTTTGAAGCCCAGCAGACAAAAATCGATAGAAAGAGCAATAGAAGAGTGGCAGAAAGAAGAAAACTCTTTGATGAGGTTGGATTAACTCATGGCTACCAAACTGGGGACTGCTACAAAATGCATTTGTGGCAGTCATTTGTAACCATTGCAGAGTGTTTACTTGTTTGTGTTCAATGTCAGAGTTGTTGTAATACTTTGTGCTGAAAAAATGAAGTATTGTGACTTGCCTAAACGAGACAGTCTCAAGAAAAAGGGGGGATTTGGTAAAACAAAGAGAATAAAACATTTCAGCTCCCCTTAAGCTGCTGGGAGAGAGCAGTCTTTTTTTTATGTGTTCATTTCAGGTGAGTGTGAGAAGAGGCTGCAACTCCCACGTGGTTTGGTGCCAGGGTTCCATGCAAGCCACAGCTGCAGAGACCCATGAAGTGCCAGTCAGTTTAAGAAAAGTCTCTAGGATATGAAACAGGCAATTTTTTGGCAATGCCCTTCATCAAATATTTTGCAGTCAGAACAACAAGAGATGGGAATAGTGTTGAGATAATTAAAAACTACGATTTCTGACTGAGATCACAGAGAAAAATCAAATATTTCATCATGCAAAAGGACTGTATATAAAACCAGAAATATTTGTTTTGATGCACAATGGGGATGGGAGGGGGGCTCAGCATCTCAGGAGTAAGGAGACAATACCAGGGTGATTTAATGCCCTGATACAGAAACTTCAGTGCTCCAATGCCCTGCCTGCATTAGTGTAAAGTGGTTTTAGTGTTCAGAATGCTCCCTGTACATCTGAAAACAAGGATTGAATGGATGGTTTTTGAAGAAAAATGGCCTTGGCGAGAGGAAGCAGCCTGTGTGTCTGTCCCCCCTTTCCCTTGGGGTTCTCTCAGGTTGGATTTGGGGCTTGGAGCAGCCTGGCACAGTGGAAGGTGTCCCTGCCATGGCAGGGGTGGCACTGGATGGGCTTTAAGGTCCTTTTCAACCCAAACCATTCCATGGTTCCTCTTATCCAGGCCACTGCCCACCCCTTGGTCCCTACACAGGGAGAGGATCTGTGGACACGTGTGCCACTTGCAGAACTTCTAAAATGCTGTTTGCAATTTGCATTCATTTGCAAACATTTGCATTGCCCAGCTGTGTGTGTTTATGTCTGTGTACAAGCCCTGCTCCTTCACACATGGGCTGAAAGGGGAAGGAATCTGCTTCTGGAAAGAAAAAATGGTAAAGGTGGGAGGCTGCTCACCCAGTTGTCCAAAACAAGGACATTTTAAAAGCTTTTTTTTAGATCTGTTACCAATGCTGGAAACAAAAGTAAATAATGGTCACGTTACATTGGTCTGATTCTACAGAAATCTTGTAAAATGGTTGTTGTGTGTTATGGCACCTTGCACTTGGATATTTGGGGAAAGGTTTTAACAGAATATTAATCTCCATTGTTTTCTTAGTTCAGTGTCTAGTTTGTACATGTTCTGGAATTTCTGTAACAGAGAAATATCAGACTCTCAAACAGTCTTTGTGAGCTGGCAACAGGAAAAACCTTTGTACATCTCTATTGTCAACCTCAAAATACCTTCCTGTCCTGAAAACACAATTCAGGTTATTCATGTGCTTCCTCCCAGGCCATTGAAGAATGTGAGAAGGTGCAGAGCAAACTTTGTTTAATCTTTTGTGTATACATATAATATAACTGCATAGGTATAATCTCACACAATTTTACACATGTATTTCACTAAAGCAGTTGTAAAGTTAATTAAAAGACTACTGTGAGCTATAAATACAAGAAAAAACCAGATCTGAAGAATACTTTATTTAAGGATAAAGTGAATTTAAATATAAGTGCCAGAAGAAATGTGAACTTCTGAAATATTTTCAAAATTCATTAGTGAATCATTGCAAAAATGCACTTCACCATGGGAGCAATTCCAGTAAACCAAGACTCCAGTTCTACTCATTTCATACTTTTAAGAATTCCCACTGAAGCCAATGGGACTATTCTTGGGGGTAAAATGAGCTGAATTTGGTTCAAGGGACACCTGTCTGGACTTTCAAATGAACTTAAATCCTGCAATGCAAAACCTCTGATTGCCTGGAAAGAGGAAATTGAACAAAAGGAAGGCACTAAAGTGATTTGGGGGAGTCTGCACAGAACATTTCTGGTCAGAAGGCAGAGATCAAATTTCCATGAAATCTGAAGCTCTGGGCATGGTTAACTTGATTTGCTGTGCTGTAGCTGGGGAGCCAGAGACAATTCTTTGTTAAAAAAGGGGAAGGTGGAAGGGTTGACCTTCCCCTGGTAAAAATTGTCCCATCCTAGTGCTCTAAAATAGCAGTAGGAGAACCTGTGGCTTACTGGAATGAGCAACTCAAGCCTTAAACTCCTCTCACCAGGTTAATTTGTGGAGATGTTAATACTTTTGGCACTTGTAAGGATTTGGGGTTTGCTTTGATAATTTTTCTCTCACTCAGAATTTCTGTTAGCTTTATAACCACATGTTCAGCTCATTAATCTCTTAGGAGGTTAAATGAGTGAGCATTGCTGTTGTTTGGATCTTTCTCACCTAAAAAGGGGAGGAGAACAGGAGAAGCCCCTTCTCACCTCAGTGTGTCCTGGTGAGTCATTCAAACTCTGCACAAGGTGAAACATCCAAATAATGGGACCCACTGTTTTGGTTCTTTTCTATTTTTTTCAGAGCAGCTAACCCAACTTCAAAAATGTGACTCATGTCCCCTCCAGCAAAAGGATCAGGAGCAGTTCCTGGGTTGGTGCAAGAGCCCCACAGGACACAAAAGTGATGAAGATGAGAGGAACCTGGCTGGGTGTGTTCCTGGGACACCTGCTGGCTCTGGGACACGGGCACAAATGGAGAAACATGGTATTTAAACAAACAAACAAACAAAAAAAACCCACCCCAAACCAAAAGATTATTATTGTTATTCTCTGCCATCTGAAATGGATACATACATCTGCTCCTTCTCTGGCCCTGGTGGGTCTAAACTTGGTTTTTAGGATGCTGAAAATGGGGAGGAGGTTTGAAGCATCAAAGCTGGGTACTCTGGTATCAGTGGGCACGCTTGTGTGGATTTCTGAGGACACGCTGGCTTGGAGGGCAGATTCAAGTTAAGGCCAAGTGTGAATCTGCCAGCAGAACATCTCGTGGGGGTGACAGGAGGAGAAATGCACGTGGCTGAGTGCCCTCAAAGAGGCAGCTTTCTATTAGAGCTGACCTGGCTTCAAATCCCTGCACAGGGAGCTGGCAGTGGAGTGCTGAGAGGAACCAGAGATTATTTTTATGGATGTGCTGCTCCTTCTTGTTCCTTTCAGGTGGATTCCAGAAAGGTCAGGCTGTTTGTCTGCCTGGTGGGGCTCAGCAGTGCCAGCCTCTGGGTTTTCTACGCCTGGACCGAATTCTGCATGTTCTGTGAGAGCAGCCAGGGTGACCTATTCCCCACGGAGACTTTCAGGAGGATGGAAGGGAACTTCTCCCAGCTCCCAGACGTTGACTGCCACAAGAACCCTCCTTTCCTTGTCCTGCTGGTGGCGTGCTCATTCCAGCAGCTGGATGCCAGGATGGCCATCCGGCACAGCTGGGGCAAGGAGAGGACAGTGGCTGGGAAGCGCCTGGTGACCTTGTTCCTCCTGGGGAGCCCTGGGGATGCCAGCCAGCAGGCTGACATCGCTGCTGAGAGCCAGAGCTACAGGGACATCATCCAGAAGAACTTCACAGACACCTATTACAACCTGACCCTGAAGACCATGATGGGAATCGAGTGGATCCACAGGTTTTGCCCCCAGTCCAGCTTCGCGATGAAAACCGACACGGACGTGTTTGTCAACGTTTTTTACCTCACTGAGCTGCTCCTGAGGAAAAAGAAGAGCACTGGATTCTTCACAGGCTTTTTAAAACTGCACGAGTACCCCATCAGGACAAGAGGGAGTAAGTGGTATGTGAGTAGGCAAGAGTACCCAGGAACCACCTACCCACCCTTTTGTTCCGGGACTGGATATGTTTTATCCAGCGATGTAGCCAGCCAGATCTATAACATTTCTGAGAGTGTTCCATTCATTAAACTGGAGGATGTGTTCATAGGGCTGTGCCTGGACAAATTAAAAATCCAGCTGGAGGAGCTTCACTCGGAGCAGACATTTTTCCCAGAGAGGATCAGGTTCTCTGTTCCTCGCTTTAGGAAAATCGTGACGTGCCATGGGATCAAACCATCTGAGCAGCTCAGCTACTGGAACCACTTAGTGGCAGCAACTCAAGGATTGGTGCTCTAGCACCTACCCTGCTCCACTTCACAGACTGAAATTCTCTGCTTTTACAGGGCTGCTCCCCACTCCAGCAAAATCCCAATTAACTCCAGCTCCATCACTCCCAGTTAACTCCATCCAGCTCCATTAAAGACTTTAGAAATGGTTATTTTAATCACAGAATCAGAGAATTGTTGAGTTTGGAAAAGACCTCCAAGATCATTGAGTTTGATTAAATCTTTCCTTTGATTAAACACTACCTTGTCAACTAAACCTGAGCACTGAGTGCCACATCCAGTCATTCCTTGAACACATCCCTGGGCAGCTCCTTCCAGTGCTTAACCACCCTTTCTGTGAAAAAATTCCCTATTTCTGCCCAAGAACATGCAAACTTCCTTCTCTCCAATTAACTCCCACCTCTGTACATCCCTTCTCTACAAACATTACAATTATTTTTTTCCCTGAAACATCCAGGCCTGCTAACCCACCCTCCAAATCTTGCTGCCAGATGCCTGGGAACATTTCTGCTGTGCCAAACAAAAAAGTCGAAGCACTTTTGTTCAGAGAATAAAATCTGCACCATCTTCCTGGTCGCCCTTGATAAATTACTGCACCCATCTGCGCAGGCACTTAGAGAAATGATATTTGCAGCTGTCAGGATGCTCCCTCCTGGCATGGGAAGCTGCAGCCCTGCCCTTGCAGCCAGCTCTGAGTGGGCTGAGCTGCAGCCTGGCACAGATCCCTCCTTCAGTCTACACCAATTTTTTTGCAGAGATGGTAGAATTTGCCCATGCAATGCTCTCGAGACGACCTTGGGCACTGCAGGTGACCTGCTGGAGCTGTAAAAGCTGCTGCAGCTGTTTCCTTGTGTGTGCTTCCTGCTGAAAATAATCCGTGGTGAAGCCAGTGCAGGGTGTCCTGCTCTTCCTATTAAAATAGACCATGGAGGCATCTTTTATATTTGTCTCACTTTGATTGCCTGAGGGCTGCTGTGAATGGTTGGCCAAGGCTAAACTAGAGTCACTTAGAGTGATTTAGACATTCTTTTTCCAAAGAGAAACTGGGTGTGTGAGGGAGAAGACAGGAGGATTTTTCTCTTTTGAACAAGACCTAATAGGAAAATGTGCTCAAGTAATCATTCAGGCTGGGAGCCCTATTTCTTATTTCATTCCCAAAGACTCATGAACTCTCTGGGATGATTACAAGTTTCAGAGATAAGGAGAGGGGTCTTTACAGCAGATGCTGAAAAATCCTTCAGGGCTCTGAGGAGGGAGAAAGCAGCTCAGAAATCCTCCTTTATGCAATGGTGCTGTTTGATTTTCCTGCAGGCACAGGCAAGGTCGGTGTTATCAGCATGGAATGCCTGTAATGTCTGTGTGAAGTGTTTTTTCCAAAAAGCAGTGAAAGTGGAGCTGTTCCCAAGGGGAGCTCAGGGGATCTGACATCCAGCATGGAAAAGAGACAGGAAAACAGATTTTCTTATTTTAGTGTTATTTATTGTTTCTTTTCACTGAAAAGAAGGATCCTTCCTTCCTTCCTTCCTTCCTTCCTTCCTTCCTTCCTTCCTTCCTTCCTTCCTTCCTTCCTTCCTTCCTTCCTTCCTTCCTTCCTTCCTTCCTTCCTTCCTTCCTTCCTTCCTTCCTTCCTTCCTTCCTTCCTTCCTTCCTTCCTTCCTTCCTTCCTTCCTTCCATCCATCCATCCATCCATCCATCCATCCATCCATCCATCCATCCATCCATCTCATTTTACTTGTCTGTGTCTGAAAAGCAGGGTAAATATTTTCAGCAGGAAGATCCTGAGAAGTGTTTAATAATGGTCATAATATATTATTTCTCTTCCTCTGGTGTAACCTGAGATCATGCACCCACTTTTGACCACTGATGATGAAAGAAACAATGTTTATTTGTTTGTCACAGGAATGGTTTCTTTTCATTTGAAGCTTATTTAATAAACTTTTAATATTTTATTTAAAGAATTAAAGTATTTAAACAGCTGAATTTTGATTAAAATTCAGCTATTTTTGAATATTTTTTCTGCCTTCAGAAGGTGTGATGGATCAGACTGATAAAGCCAAGCCAATGTATTTTTAATCACTATCCTTTCCATGTAATATGCAGAAATATCTTGTGTCTTTCATTGCTGTTGTGCCCAAGGTGCAAGCTGGTTATTCCTTTAATCTATGGAAAAATGGTGAGCAGAAAGGAATGTATCCTGGTCATTCCTAGCTCCTTGTCTTGAGGGGCAGAGCTCTGGGACAGCATCATCAGCCTGATGTTCTTTTCTTGTTCTCAGAGGTAATAATACCATCATAAAAAAATAAAAATGTAATAATGAAATAATCCTGCAGGCAGTTGTAGATCTCACTTCCACCTCTGTGCCTGGTCCCAGCTTTGGCTTTGCATCAGCATAAAAAAAGTCACCCTTGAGGGTGACCCAAGTCCTGCTGGACCTCTTGGCTGGGGCTTTTATTTCAGTCCAGGAATGCTCCAAATTACTCAAATCCAGCTGCTGCCTGTTCTCAGTCAGTCTCTTCTGCAGACTCAACCTCTGTATTTCTGGGGTTAAAGTCTAGTGGAAGATGTCCCTGCCTGTGGCAAGGGGGTGGAAATGGATCTTCTTTAAGGCCCCTCCACCCCAAACCCAACCACTCTGTGGCTCCATGAAACCCATCTCTGATGGATTGGGAACAGGGACCTGACCCAAGGTCCTGAAACCATCCTGGGAGCTGCATTTGTCATTTCCAGTGGCCTGTACAAGATGTCTCTGTTGCTGCCTTCAGAATGTTTTGTCCTCACCTCAGTCCCCAGTGGCCTGACTGTCCATGAGTATTTAATTTGTCACTGCTGAAGCTCTGCTGAGGAGCAGATGAGTTCGGGTTGAAATGTCAGGGATTTGGATTTTCAGGGATTTTTCTGCTCCTCTCCTCTTTGCAAAGGGGTTTTCCAAGTGAATGCTTTTAGCTGCTGCACAGAATTTTCCTCAACCTAATGATTTTTTTTTGTGTCAATGAGAAACTGATCTTGTAATTCATAGAATCGTAGAATTGTTTAGGTTGGAAAAGATCTGCAAATTCCCTGAGTCCAACCATTGACCCCAAAAGGTGTCCCTAAACACCACATCTACAAATTTTTTTAACACTTTCAGGGACAGTGATGCCACCACTTCCTTGGGTTGCCTGTTCCTGTGCTTTACCACCCTTTCTGTGAAGAAATTTTTCATAAATGCAATCTATGGATTCATAAATGCAATTTAGACCTCCTCTGGTGCAACTTGAAGACATTTCCTCTTGTCCTGTTGCTTGTCACTTGGGAGAAATGACCAAGTCCCATCTCACCATACCCTCCTGTCAGGGAGTTATGCAGTGCAGTGAAATCCGCCCTGAGCCTCCTTTTCTCCAGACTAAACCCCTCCCCTGCTCCCTAAGCTGCTTTGAATGAGGATATATTAATTGAGTAATTAATTACTTAAAGCATAAACTTACCCTGCTGGAAAATGTGATTTAAGAAAAAGCAGATGACTGCATGTAAGGCAAATCCATTTGTTTAAACAAATACACTGTGCTAGTGATTTTATATGTATCAGCTAAATTATATTAGCTTTTGCAGCTGAGGCCTCAGCTCGTGTATTTTAAAACAATCAAAACAGTATTAGTGGCCTTTTGCAAAATTAGATTCATTTCCCTATGAAAGACCATCACAAAACAAGCAGAAATATAAGTAGAACTGCAAACACAATATGCAGTGTATATATACTTATTCTTAAAATTTTGTATAGACTTACAAAAGAATTTAGGCAATTTGGGGGCAGTTTGTTGCAGAGCACTACCCCAATGTTTTTATGCATTTTGGGTTAGAAGTTCATTAAAAAATTTTTTTTCTTTTAAATGAATAGCTTTGAAAAGGTCATCTAAAAGTTACTCCACTGCTTCTAAGTAGGGAGGAGTACAGAAATCAGCAGAGCTGTAAGTGTCTTAGAGTTGGTTGCACTTCAGCACACTCTATTTCTTCCAAGATCAGTTTTTAGAGGCATAAAAATTAATACTTTTTTTTCCCCCACAACCCTAATTCATCAACTAACACATTCTCAGTTTAAATTAGGATTTTCAAATCTGTGCATGAAGGATTTGGTCTCACAGATCCTCTGACTCAGACTTATTGAGGAGGTACAACCCTCCCAGGCACTTCTGAAAATACAGAAGTGGATTTTTGCAATGGAAGTTTTGCCTTATTTCAGAGTGGAAGGGGACAAAAGGGCTCCTGGTGTGTGCTGGATGTGACAGGAACGCTGCTCCTCATGGATGTGTGCAGGTGACAATGAAATGTTAATTTAAAAGGCATGACAATGATTGTATTATTTACATGGAACATGAGAGTGTTGAGCCAACAGTTTCATGTTTGATATTTTATTAGTAAAGAATTTTGCTACCACAGTTTTGTGTGTTTGCTTGTCTTTCTGGTTGTGAATGCACCAACATTTTGGGGTGTAGTCATGTCAGGGGGCTGGCTCCTTTTCCTGTAAATATCAGTAGAATCACAGAATTATTTAGATTGGAAATGACATTTAAGGTCATCGAGTCCAACCTTTAACCCAGCACTGCCCCATGTCCCCAAGTGCCACATCTACACAGCTCTCAAATCCCTCCAGGGACGGGGACTCCAGCTCTGCCCTGGGCAGCTGTGCCAGGGTTTCAGAACCTTTCTGGGAGAAATCTTCCCAAATATTCAATCTAAACCTCCCGTGGCTCAGCCTGACACCATTTCATCCTGTAACTTCTTACCTGCAGGGAGGTAGAAGGTTTTACCTTCTGACCATCTCACTGCCCCTCCTGGCAGGAGCTGTGCAGAGCCACAAGGTCCCCCCTGAGCCTCCTTTTCTCCAGGCTCAGCCCCTTCCCAGCTCCCTCAGGAATTCTCCAGCCCCTTCCCAGCTCCGTTCCCTGCCCTGGACACGCTCCAGCCCCTCCAGGTCTCTCCTGCAGGACCAGAACTGGACTCAGGAGACAAATCTGAACCAGCCATGGGTTCTGAGAGCCCTTTTGTGGCTGACTCCACCTTGAGAATTTATTCCTTGCAATAGCTGAGCTTGAAGGTGATGAAAGCCTCATTTGCTCAAGAAAATTCCACATCCAAACATGAGTGACACAATTTCCTGACTAGTTTGAGGTGAAATTAGGTTTTCCTGTTGTTATTTTGGTTTCCTGAAGCAGTGAGAGCAGTGACAACCTTAGGCCCACACCCACCTGAGCTGCAGGAGGGCAAATCCTGACAGCAGAGATGAAACCACAGCTCCTGCAGACCTGGTGGCTTCTCCCTTTTATTGGTACACCCCCTGAGCCTCCTTTTCTCCCGGCTCAGCCCCTTCCCAGCTCCCTCAGGAATTCTCCAGCCCCTTCCCAGCTCCGTTCCCTGCCCTGGACACGCTCCAGCCCCTCCAGGTCTCTCCTGCAGGACCAGAACTGGGCACAGCCCTCGAGGGGCCTCTCAGAGCCAGCCCAGAGGGACAATCCCTGCCCTGCTCCTGCTGGACACACAATTCCTCATCCAGCCCAGCTGCCAGCGGCCTCTTGTCCCCCTGGGCACCCCTGGGCTCGTGTCCAGCCCCTGTCACAGCTCCCCCAGGGCCTTTTCCAGCTCTCCAGCCCCTCTGCCCAGCCTGGAGCTCCCGGGGTTTTTGTGACCTAAGGGCAGGACTGGGATTTGGTCTTATTAAATCTGAATTTGAAACGGTTGAATTTTCTCCCCTCCTCAAAAATGACTTAGGAAATAGTGAGGGAATTGAAAGAAAAAATTTAACCACAGCTGTCACCTTTGGGAAGAACAAAAGCCCAACTTAAATGATTTTTGCCCCACTGTGTGCCTGAGGATTGCTGTCATGGTCCTCCTGGGACCTGGAAGTACTGGTTCTCCTATCAGTTCAAAGAGAAATGTGAAATAACTGAAGACTGTCAGATTGATTTTCAAACACAAGCAGTTATGAACCATAAAAAGAAAAGTCCTCCTTTACTTCATTTATCTTTTATTTTATCTTGCTTACATTTCTCATGTATCTTTATTGAGGTTTTTTTTTTTTTTTTTTTAACAGCTGGACTTCAATTCATTAGTTCATGACAGCAATATATTCCCAGGAATGTCTACAAATATTGTCACAGGACTTAGACATATGCAGCACATAGGAGATCCAGCCTGAAAAAGCAGACTTGAATTTGCACATCTTCTGGCTGAGCAAATAGAGACTTTTTTCAAAGCCTTGTAATACAGTGGAATTGAGGCTGTTCTTCTAAAGAGTTCACTCAAGCACATTTTCACTGAAAAATGCAATTGGGTGATTTCAATGGCTGAGAAATAATGTTTCACATATTCAAAAATGCATTATTTTTGCAGGAAAACAGAAATAAATCCATGTCCCTTCTTAGAATCTCCCCAAGTGAACCGTGTACACAACATTCCTTGCGTTCAGCTACTGACCCAACCCGACCTCATTTAATTTATGACTTTGGCTGCAGGGACAGAGGCCTGCAATCATCTTCCTGCTCCTCAGGAATCCCAGTTCCATTTCCAATTCCACAATTCCACCCCACAAACTCCGGTGTAGAGCTGGAGGAATGTGGAATGCAATAAATTAGTGATGTGCTGTGATTTGCACCTCCAGCTCGTGGATCTCCAGGGCAGCTCTAATCCCTTCGTGTTTAATTGAATTATTCCTGCTGAAACAGCAGTTGTAAGTAAATGTTTGACTTGGGTACACAAAGGGACCTGCTGCTGCTTGTAAAGGTTCAGAGGGGGAATTAGAGAGCAGAGAGAGCTGGGCTGGGAGCAGGGGCAGGATGTGGAGGGGGAGCGATGCTGCTGGGTGCTGCTGGGTGAGGAGGGGTGGAACAGCTCAGGGTGAGGGGCTGTGAGGCACCTTGTCACACTGCGACATGAAATAACTCACAGAAGGAGGCTAGATGTAAAAGGAAAGAAAAAGAACCCAGAAAAGCCAACTTTATTTTCTGACTCCACTATATATACAACAGCCAAAGTGACAGTGGATTGGAGGGTGAAATTGCCACCTCTCCAACCACACTGCTCAAACCAACAGTCCATCAGTTCTCCCCACCCACAAAGAAGAATGCAAAGCAATCATTGTTTACATGAACATGCATGAGAAAACTCAGCTGAAATATGTAAATATCAGAAGGCATAGGAACTTTTAGAAGAACTTTAAAACTCTCATAAGAACAGGGCTACAGCACCTCAACCCATTTTGGGGATGTCCCACCCTTATCCTGAGGGTGGGACTCTGGCAGGAGGTTTCCTGAGCCACACCACTTCAGGTGCATGGGAGATGGAAGAGGAAAGGACTGGAAGATTTAACCTTTAAAATGTCAGTCTTTACTGCATTCTTGAGATCTTCTCACCAGTTCCCTCAACTTTTAGGAGATCTCATTCTGTCTACAAGTGTTTCAAAGGAAATGACCAAACTGAATCATGAAATCAGAGTGGTTGGGTTGCAAGAACCTTTAAAGTCATCCAGTCCGACCTCCTCTGCCATGGGCAGTGACATTTTTCAATTAATTTTCAACTCACTCAGAGACCTGTCCAGCCTGGCCTTGAAGTTTTCCAAGGAGTGGGAATCCACCACCTCTCTGGACAACCTGTTGTGGTTTTCCTCACTCTCATTGTAAAAAAATTCTCTCTCATATCTAGTTCAAACTGACCCTGCTTCAGTTTAAAGCCATTACCCCTTGTCCTATCAGTACAAGGCCTTGTACAAAATCCCTCTCCAGCTCTCTTGTAGCCCCTTCAGATAATGGAAAAGTGCAGTAAAATCTCCCTGGAGATTCCTCTGGTATGAACAGCCCCAACTCTCTCAGCCTGAATATCAAAATAAATTCACTGCTCCTCTACAGGAGAAAGCCAAAATACAGCAGAGGT